TCCATAGAGAGCTATGGATGGTTCAATCAGGTCCACCTGAAAAAAGGACAGATGGACCCAATTGGACCGTTGGTGTGAAAGGGGCCTAATAGATGAGCAATATTGCAACATAAACATTTTTGGGGGAGGGAACAGTTAACATATACAGTACATATCTCATCTGTATATTTTGCTGTGTCCCTCTAGTTGCACATTAATCCAACTACCTTTAAAGGCAGATTTCTTCCCTGCATCAACCTCTGCATACAGAATTCTACCTTTTCAAGAGCAATGGCTTCATAGTTACATAGTTAGTCTGGCTGAAAAAAAACAAAAGTCCATCCAGTTCAACCATAAAAAAAAAAAAAAGTTATAATCCTATATCCACAGTTGATCCAGAGGAAGGCAATAAAACACAACAAAGCACGATCCAATTTGCTACGGCAGGGAAAAAAATTCCTTCCTGATCCCCTGAGAGGCAATTGGATATTCCCTGGATCAACTTTATCTATAAATGTTAGTGCTTGCTTCATGTGGAAGCAAGAAATGGTATTCGGCCCTCAAATACAAAAAGGATTTTGGACCAAATGGAAAAGATTAAAAAAAAAACTGTCAAAGATTATTTTGGCAAGAAACAAATTTGTATAAACAGAACAACCTAATAATCAAAACTACAAGAGTATTGCCAGAGGTCAATAAAATACTAAACACAAAAAATATGAACTGTAACTTTTAAAGTGACCCGAAGAACAATATTTTATATTTTGTAGTGAAAAATGAGTGCGACAATATTTTCTTTTCATGACAGTCTTAACAGTTTTACTCCTTCAGGAAATCCTTCATAATGTGACAGATATCGTAAAACTAAACCAAGAACATGTCAGTATTTTCAAAGATTTTATATAATATATACAGTATATGTCTCACATACACACATATATACATATTTATAATCCACAGTTTCAACACAATTTTCTGTGGTCTGTGTGTTTATTATGTTACAGATAGTTAAAGATGACACTTTAGTTGTCATGAATATGTATAGAGATATTATATATAAAAAGGATAAACTGCTACCCAGTGTGAAATCACTAAAGCATGTACCCACACTGATGATGCAGTATGAAATTTCCTCTTTAATGGCCTGTATCATATGAGTAGGGCATTTACTAAAAGACCTTTCATGCTAGTTGCCTACAGACTAGCTAACTTGCTGAGTGAATGTTCTTGAAAGAGATATATGGGAAACCATTAAACCATGCAAGCGTCAGTTACATAATACAACAGCTCTGAATGGTTTCAATTATTCTATTATTCTCTCTCATTTTACTCCTAACAGCAGTCCTTTCGTTACACAAGCTAAATGAGCCATTCCATAAGTAATATAGCTCAGCTCCCTTGTGGATTTAATGGCTTTGTAAGATATGTGTAAAGCGAATCTACCTTGGGTCTTAACGAGTGGTGATGAGGATGTCGAGCATAAAAGTGGTTAGAACATGTTGGGGGGATTTTTGCAGGTCATGTTTGGAGCAGAAGTCTATGCACCTCGTACAGCGTTCAGTCTTTGCACTTTAGTTGTTAGCTGCCGTAATGTTGACAATGTCTCATTGGATGGGTTCCTTTATCTTTGTTTTCTTTCTTGTCTGATAATTTGAAACTAGTGAAAAAGGTGTCATCTCCAGTTTCTTTCATCGCATCTGTAGCTTTAATGTGGACACTGACTGCATCATAAACTCTAAGTAGGTTCTTCTGAGTATATCTTGTGGTCAAATTCATAGATATCAGAGATTTTTAAAGGGTATCTATGGTCACAATTTAAAATCATATATTTACTTCCAAATTGTATTTAAATAATTTCTAGATTACTCCTATTGATCCGAATTATATAGAGCCTTACATTATGAAGAAATCTACACTTTCCCATCCTTTGATTTCTAACACATAGTCCCTATGCCCTGTGAGTAGGCACTGCTGTCACAGAATTCACAGAGCCTGCCTTTTGAATGACAGAGGTGCTGAGAGAAGGAGTTTCAGGAGGTTAAGTCAGTACAGGAATCAGTGCTTGCAAGCAGAAAGGTACCATGGGATATGTAGTCCTTAGAAATGGAAAGTATACAGCAGAGGATAAGCTGCAAATAAGTTATAAACGCATGACCAGTAGACAGGCAGTAATCAAAACAAGAAAGAAGATGTTTCAAATAAACTTACGCTACTGTGCAAAGGATTTAGGCAGGTGTGAAAATTATGTAAATGTATTAATTCATAAATAAAAGTGTTAATAGTTTATTTTTTATCAATAACCAAAATGAAAAATAAATGAACAGAAGATAAATTCAAAGCAAATATTTGGTGTGACCACCCTTTGCCTTCAAAACTGCATCAGTTCTTCTAGGTACACTTGCACACATATTTTGAAGGAACTTGGCAGGTATGTAGTTCCAAGCATCTAGGAGAACTAACCATAGATCTAGTGTGGATGTAGGCTGCTTAAAACCCTTCTGTGTCTCCATGCAATCCAAGACAGACTCAGTGATGTTGAGATCAGGGCTCTGTGGGTGCCAAACATCCTTTCCAGGACTTCTTGTTCTTCTTTACGCTGAAAATTGTTCTTAATGACACTGGCTGTATATTTGGGGTCATTGTCCTGCTACAGAATACATTTGTGGCCATTACACATCTCTCTGATGTTAAGACATGATGGATAAGTATCTGCCTATATTTCTCAGCATTGCGAACACCATTCATCCTGACCAAATCTCCAATTACATTGGCAGAAATGCAGCTCTAAACTTGCAAGGAAACTCCACCATGTTTCACTGGTACCCTCAGACACTCATTATTGTACCACTCTCCAGCTTTTCAGTAAACAGACCACTTCTTACTGCAGCCAAATACTTAAAATTTTGTCTCAGTCCATAACACTTGCTGCTGTATTTCTGCACCCCATTCCTACAATTTCATGTATAATTGAGTCACTTAGCCTTGTTTCCACATCAGAGGTATAGCTTGTTGGCAAGTGTTCTTCCATGAAGACCATTTCTGGCCAGATTTCTCCTCACAGTAGATTGATGTACCTGGGACCCTGCTGGTTTCCAGTTCTGTGCTGATGGCACTGCAGGACATCTTCCAGTATTGAAGGGAAATAAGCATGAACAGCACATCTTGAACCCCCAGCCTGCTTTGAAATCTTTTCCTGGAGAGGCCTTGCTGGTACAATATATAACTACCTTGTGTCTTGTTGCTGTGCTCAGTCTTGCCATGCTGTATGACCTGTGACATGAAACTACCTTCCACAATCTCACATTAGTAGCAGAGTTTGGCTGTTCCTCACCCTGTTTTATGCCTCCTACACAGCTGTTGCTGTTTCAGTTGATGACTGTATTTCAACTTACACATGAAATTGATTATCAACACCTGCTTGGTATAATTGATTAATCATACACCTGACTCTAATCCTACAAAATCCCTGACTTTTTGCATGTGTACAAAGTGTGCAAGTTTAAGAACTGATAATGACAGGATGCACACATAAGCTGGGCAAGGTCAGGGCTAACACAGGAAACAAGAGGAGCAGGGAGCGAGATACTTGGAGAGCAGGATGCAGGGTACAGGGAGCAAGTCACAGGAACAGGTCTCAGGGGCAGGTGCTGGTACAGGGATCAGGCTCAAGCAGAAACATGGCTTGCAGGAGAAATACTGAAGCACAGAAACTGTTATGGGTGGGCGTATGTACCCCTATAAGTCCATATCAGGTGCAACCTAATTACCTGCACAGTCCAGCTTCTGGGAGACACTAGCTGGTGGCCACCAGAACTACACCCTTTGATTCCAGAAACAACAGTGCCACCAGCAGGTGACCCAAATAATGACACAGCTCCTGACAGATGCTGGTTTGAAGCTAAAGGGTAGTCACACCAAATATTGATTGGGTTTAGATTCACATTTTGTAAATTGATAAAAACAATTAAAATATATGTTTTTTTTAAAGCATTTTTACTTTACAGCATGTTTTCACACCTTCCTAAAACTTTACACAGTATTGTATATTTGATTTAAATAAATAACTATATTTATTGCTATTATGATGCTGACATCAAAATTACAGTGTGTACAGTGACTAAACTGTAGATTCCCTTTAAAGTTGTATAAAACACTAAAACAAACATATTGCAGCATACCAGTTCTTAGATGTGGTGGCTGCATTACTTTTCTTTTTTAGGTTTTCTTTCTTTTATTCTCACCTGGTGATCTGGCCAGTGGGTCTGTTGTCTTTCAAAGGACCAAGGACCAAATGTCCTGTTCTGTGGATGCAGCAATAGAGAAGAATGAGACAAGCCATTCAACACTGACAGGGGTGCTTACAATAATCAATCTTATTTACAGTATTTGAAACCTTTAACCCAAAAAGAAAAACAAAATGTTTCTCTAACTTCTTTAAAGTGTTATATGTACTAGCAGATTTAGATACCCTAACAAACTGCTGGAAAAATCAAGCTAACACTCCCCTCCTCCCAGATTGACAAAAATGTCCCTGTGCTCCTTCATCGAGAGTGGAGGCATTCTAATGCAGGAGATGTGTCACTGGCCATATCATCAGGTGAAAACAGAGGAGAAAAGCCTAAAAAAATAAAACTAAAGCTTCACCAATCAGGGTGAAACAAGAATGTTTCTCAGACTCTTAGCTCTCTCTATCGTCGTATTTGGGCCTGGGAATGTTTCCTAGACTCTTAGCCCTCTCTACCGTCATATTTGTGAGTCCTACTATCTTATCTCAGCTTCTTAAAATCCCCCAATCTTTACCTAAGATTTCCCTCATAATTTTCTTGTGTGGCCCAAATGTAACCACTTCCCTCCAGCCATATAGTAATACGAGAGGCGCAAGGTGGTTCTTTCATTTTGGGAGGACGTCATATGATGTCCTCCCATTCTCACCGCACATGCGCGGCTCAGGGAGTGTGCAGCGCGGCGATCGGTGGTGCGCTGTGTCCCTCGGACACGGAGGATCACCGATCACGGAAAGAGCCGAAGATGTTGGCTCGGTCATGTGATCAGCTGTGTCCAATCACAGCTGATCACATGTAAACAGGGAAATGCCGGTTATCGGCATTTCTCTCCTCTCGAGCTGTCAGTGGTAATCGGCTTTCCACGGAGGGAACATGTGCACTGATCATCAGGGCACTGATGATCAGTGTGCCCTGATGATCAGTGTAGCCCCAGCAGTGCCACCTGTCAGTGTCCATCAGTGCCTTATGTCAGTGCCCATCACTGCCTTGTGCCAGTGCCCATCAGTGCAACATATCAGTGCCTACCAGTGCACACAAATGCCACATATCAGTGCCCATATAAGCTGCCTTTCAGTGTCACCCAGCAATTCCAATCAGTGCCACCTATCAGTGCTGCCAATCAGTGCCAGTCAGTGCCGCCTATCAGTGCCAGTCAGTGCCGCCTATCAGTGCCAGTCAGTGCTGCCTATCAGTGCGCATCAGTGCCGCCTAACAGTGCCAGTCAGTGCCGCCTAACAGTGCCAGTCATTGCCACCTATCAGTGCCAGTCAGTGCCACCTATCAGTGCCAGCCAGTGCCATATATCAGTGCCATGTATCAGTGCTGCCTTTCAGTGCCCATCAGTGCCACCCGCCAGTGCCTCCTCATCAGTGCCCATCAGTGCCACCTATCAGTGTCCATCAGTGCAGCCTATCAGTGCCTTTCAGTTAAGCCTCATTAGTGCACATCAGTGAAGGAGAAAAATCACTTATTTACAAAAGTTTATAACAAAAACTAAGAAAAAACTTTTTTTTTCAAAATTTTCAGTGGTTTTTGGTTTAAGAAAAAATAAAAACCCCAGAGGTGATTAAATACCACCAAAATAAAGCTCTGTCACAAAAAAATGATAAAAATTTCATATGGGTACAGTGTTGTTTGACCGTGCATTTGTCATTCAAAATGCGACAGCGCTGAAAGCTGGAAATTGGCCTGGGCAGGAAGGGGGTATAAGTGCCCTGTAGGCTAGCGGTTAATAATAAACCTCACTGATTGGTCTACTTGATTTTTATTATTAGCATATATGTGGGTTTTTTTAATCAAATCAGTCCTATCAGTGTTAACTGCTTGACGAGGGCCCTTCTGGGTGTTCTTATGTAAATATTACTGGGAGGATCAATTTTTGTGTGGCAGTCTATTGTTGCTGTGAAGATCTATTGTTGCTGATGGGGGTGATGTTGTTGCTGGAAGGGATCTACTGTTAAGGGAATTGTCGCTGACTTATGGAGAGTCTATGGATTCTGGCTGCTAACAGATCTTTTGTTCTGGCTGTCTATTGTTGCTGGGGTGGTATTTTGTTGTGGGGATCCATTGTTGCTGGGGAAATATACTGTTGTGGGGAGTCTAATGCTGCTGACTGCGGGAGATCTATTTTACTGCTTTACTAGTTATTAACAAATTAGCACCACAAAATGATACTTGACTCTGCATTCTCTAAAAGGGGCTGTACTGGGCAGTGGTTAGGAGGTAGAACAAAAGACAATGCAAAGGGGAGTTCTTGCACCTATTCTCTGAGAAAAAAGCCCTGAATATCCCCATTGTTTAAATCTAAGTATACAGTATGTCTCATGTCATGGAGAGGACAGATTTAAAAATGAACAAGGGTTATAATTAATAAAGTTGCAAATATCTTAAAAAAATGGTTCTTTACCCTAAACATAGTTTACTTATATTGTACACCGTCTTTGTTATAGTGACTATTAAAAAGCATTTACCCTCTTGGAAGTTTTCATATTTTGTCTTACATGTCGTACATTACTGTTGATTGGCTTTTATTTTCTTAATACTGATCAGCATAAAATATCAGGCAAAATAAAAAATGGAGCAAAGTAATTTACATTAATTGCTCTAAGAAAAATACAAAACAAGTGGTTTCATAAGTATCGGCCCTTATTAATTTGACACACGTAAATCATCACTAGGGCAGTCAAGTCTTTTCCAAAGTCACATAATTAACTAAATGAAAATCAAATATGTATGATTAAGGTGCTCTAAGTACTTGTAGTATAAATACACTTGTACAGTGTCTGGAATATCCAACTTCTGGTAAGTCAATATCATGTTTTAACATATGCCATGAAGACAATAGTCCAATCAGCAGCACAAAATGTAAAAGCATGGGGACACATACAAAAACATATCTAATACCTAAATATCTTACAGAGTACAGTTAAATCAGAACCAAAAACACATGTGTAAACGTTTATTATACACTGCTCAAAAAAATTAAAGGAACACTTTTTAATCAGAGTATAGCATCAAGTCTATTAAACTCCTGGGATATTGATCTGGTCAGTTAAGTAGCAGAGGGGGTTGTTAATCAGTTTCAGCTGCTTTGGTGTTAATGAAATTAACAAGAGGTGCACTAGATGGGCAACTATGAGATGATCCCGAAAACAGGAATAGTTTTACAGGTGGAGGCAACTGACAATTTTTCCCCTACTCATCTTTTATGACTGTTTTTCAATAATTTTGCATTTGGCTAGGGTCAGTGTCACAACTGGTAGCATGACGCGATACCTGGATCCTACAGAGGTTGCACATGCAGTCCAACTCCTCCAGGATGGCACATCAATACATGCCATTGCCAGAAGGTTTCCTGTGTCTCCCAGCACAGTCTCAAGAGCATGGAGGAGATTCCAGGAGACAGGCAGTTATTCTAGGAGAGCTGGACAGGGACGTAGAAGGTCCTTAACCCATCAGCAAGACCAGTATCTGCTCATTTGTGCAAAGAGGAACATGATGAGCACTGCCAGAGCCCTACAATATGACCTCCAGCAGGCCACTGGTGTGAATGTCTCTGACCAAACAATTAGAAACAGACTTCATGAGGGTCACCTGAGGGCCCAACATCCTCTAGTGGTCCCTGTGCGCACTGCCTTGCACCATAGAGCTCGACTGGCATTTGCCATCATACACCAGAATTGGCAGGTCCACCACTGGTGCCCTGTGCTTTTCACAGATGTGAGCAGGTTTACCCTGAGCACACGTGACAGATGTGAAAGGGTCTCAAGAAGCCATGGAGAACGTCTGGGGAGGCATATCCATAGAGGGACGCACAAATCTCTACAGGCTAGACAATGGCACCCTGACTTTCATTAGGTAATGAAGTAATAAGTAATAAGTATTCCTTTAATTTTTTATATTACCCACATCCATCTTCCACCTACAGAACATAGGTGAGGGTGACATTCCAAATCCTGCAAGAAGATGCTCCTGCACTGTGTTGGGGCATCTTTTCACTGGATTTTATATGCTCTGTGTTTTTTTGTTTAATGGTGGAAGGAAAATCATAATGATCTGGGAGTTCTAATAGATCACAAGCTTAATAATGGCATGCAATGCCAAGCTGTGGTTTCTAAACCGAGCAAAATCCTGTCTTGTATTTAGAAAGGAATAGACTCCAGAGAGAGAGAGAGAGAGAGAGAGAGAGAGAGAGAGAGAGAGAGAGAGAGATCATATTACCCCTGTACAAATCATTAGTAAGACCTCTGGAATATGCAGTTCAGTTTTGGGCGCCAATTCACAAAAAGAACATTGGGGAACTGGAGAAAGTACAGAGAAGGGCAACCAAACTGATAAGAGGCATGGAGGAGCTCAGCTATGAGGAAAGATTAGAGGAACTGAATTTATTCTCTCTTAAGAAGAGAAGATTAAGGGGGGATATGATCAACATGTATAAATACTTCAGTGGTTCATATAGTGAACTCGGTGTAGTTATTAACCATGAGGTCATCCCAGAGGACAAGGGGGCACTCTTTATGTTGTTTTTCGTGGACATTGATGGCAGCATCGGCAACGACCGATTTTTCGTTTATCGGTCGACAATTCAGCCGATAAAAGGCCCATCTATGGCCTGCATAAATTATCACATTTTGGTCATCATCTTAAACATCTTGCTTGGTATAAGTCAAACACTGCTCATCATCATAAACAAATAATCCCCATTGTGAAGCATAATGGTGACTAATCTTGTTGTGGGGCTGTTCACCTGCAGGCCCTGGAAAGCTTCTGAGGGCAGAAGGTTGAATGCAAAAGACAAGGACATTCTGGATGAAAAACCTGATTCAGTTTGTAAAAGATTTGTCTTCCAGCAAGCCAAAGACCCCAAGCATAAGGTCAAAATGACACAAGAACAATAAATAAAGTCAAGACCGAAATGCAAACAGAACCTGAACAAGTCTGTTTCTTCACAATCCCCATGCAACCGGGCAGAGCTTAAGACGTTTTGCAAAAGGCAACTGGGATATATTATAGCTTTTACAGCTGTACTAGACCTTTCCACACCAACTCAAGACTGTAATTGCTACCAAAGTTGCATCTATTAAATACTAAATTGGGGGGGGGGGGGGGGGTTGTGTGTGTGCTTTTTTTCCCTCGTTGTAGTTAACTTAAATCACTTTACAGAGACCAATTTTCACTTTGGCTTGAAAGAGTATATATCTGGTGAAGATCAGTGTACAAAAAACAATGTTCTATGACAATAACTGATGAAAACAAAAGGTTGAAAATTGATTTTACAGCCACTGTGTGATGCATCGCTCTGAATCATTTGGTCTCTGTCATTCTTTTATGTTGCTGGCTATAAATGGAATTAATACTCAAATGTAATTAATTGTCCATTATTGGGCATACATCAGTTGCAGGTAACCATCATCATCACCTGATTACTAAAAAGTTACCACTCTATGTGAGGAATTACTGTCAGATTGCAGGACAGATCAAATGGCATTTTGACTTTGTAGTCATGTTACTGGACATGTAGAGAACATGACATGATAGCTGTTATATTACTGGTCCCTTATTGGTGTCATCTAACATCAACATTCCGATAAGCTGTAACACTGTTTATCTGCTTAGCAAGACATCACTCCTGCCATCTTAACACTCTTGTTGGATTACCGTTTATGAATCAGGATTTCGTAAGAAAGCCTTCACTGATGTCACCTTCTGCTCTGGTAAATAAGTGTGACCTGGGCTATCAACATTCTGTGGCATGATGCTTTTTTAAGTTGTCTGTTCTTTGACTGGGAAAATCCATAATACATGTAACCATATAGACCTTTCTACAGGTCAACTTCCAGAAAAGGGCGTCCTATGTCATATATGGTTTAATGTACTTATTAAGATGCATGTTAACTCCCCAACAAGGAACTTCACTTATTTGCTCCCATTTGGTTTATTAAATAAACTATTTCAAGAGGTTTTTTTTTTTTTAATCAGTTTGACAAGTGCCAAAAAACAAACAGTTGATCATGCTAGCAGTGGCATACTTAGAATCCTAGAAGCCCAAGTGGCTTCTATGGGGCCTGGTAGTAGGGTCCCTTTAGGGA